CCCCTTCTCCCCCGCCCCGACCCGGCCGGCACTCACTCAGGGAAGGAGGAGCAGAGCCCGGGCCTGCGCGTCACTTACGTCGACGTACTGCGTCACCGCGTCGAGTTTCGGATGACGCGGACGCCTACCGAGCGCAGATTACGGCGGGGACGGGTCACGCCCCCTACACCCTCTCGTGGCGGGGAGGGGCCAACCCTGGGGATTTGGCGCTGGGCGAGAACAAGGCTGCGCGCGCTGGGCGGAGGAAATCGGGCTACCGGGGGTTGGGCCCATTCAAGGCCAGCTGTGCCAGGGAGGGATCTTAAATCACCACCCTCCCACCTTCCACCAACACCCGCCTGACTCCAGGTAGGAGCGCTTCCATCCGGACTTCAAAATTAACGCGGTCCGGGTGTGCCTTTATTCCGCGGCTCCTCCGGCCCCGCCCCGCCCCGCCCCCTTTCCTCCCTAGGTCGGCCCGCCTTACCCAGCTTGTGATCCTCCCTTTCTCCTCTCTGTCCCTCAAAACCTTTCCTTCCCTGCTCTCCCCTCCCAGGGCGTAACTGGCCGCACACCTTCCCCTACCCCTAAACCGCGCCTCTCCCTCCATTTCCTCGCGAGTGCCCGGGCGCTCTCTCCGCTCGAGTCCGGCCAGCGCACGTGCGCTCGCTCTCAGACCCGGGCGGCTGCGCCGTGGGCTGCGGCGGCCACGGGCGCGAGCACGTTCGGCCGCCTGGGATCTTCCTCCCGGGTGCCCGCCCTCTCCATGCTCGGCCGGCAGCACGTGTTTGCTAGGCTCAGGATCTGTGTCTGCGCGGATTGTTTACACATGGTGCTGTTGCTACAGCATTCCACCCCCTACCCACCGCGCTGAAAGAGGCCAGTGACCCTGTGCAGCCTCATGTGACGTTCCTTCATTCATCCGGAAAAAAATGTTTTTGAAGGATAATGAGATAGTTGAGATTTATTCTTTAAAAAGAGAGTGGGAATTAAGGAAGAATTCAAATAGCAACAGTGAATGTGATTATTTCAACAGACATTGATTTATTAAGAGTCACCGCTGTGCTAGGCACTGTTTAAGGGACTGGTGAATCCAGTGGTGAACAAAGTGTATTTGGTTTCTACCTTCCGAATCTTAGTCTGATAGAGTAGATAGATATTTTGAACAGTTAATTGCATGGAGACTGACTGCTGAATGTTATGAGATGTGAACAAAGTAATCTGGGAGTCAAAGAAAGCTAGTAACCTTTAAGAAGCAATGTGAAGCCTGAGTGTTCTTAGCCAAGGAGCACTGAGATTATAGCATTCCAGGAACTGAAAGAATGTTTCTGGGACAGACCCACAGGGGCCTTATAAACATTGTTAAAGGTGTAAGATATTATTATCACAAAAGGAAGCCTTGAAGATTGAGCAGAACAGTGACATCGTAAGGTTTACTTTTAGAGAGAATTCTAGCCTCAGTATGGAGAATCTGTTTAATGGGACAAGATGCAAGAGTAGAGACCAGTTGAGAGGCTGTTAGTAATGTAGATGAAATCATGGTGGCAAATGAGATTAGAGAACAGGATGGAATCTAGAGATAAGAATCAATATTGGTTGGAAAGTATGTCACAGGTACTAAATACGTAAAGTCGAATATGTATCATAAGGGAAGAACAGTCAAGGATGGTTTCTAGATTTCTGGCTTAAGCTGGTGGGTTGTTGGTATCATTACCAAAATAGGGAATACAACTAGAGGAACTGGTTAGGAAGATAGGGTTGGGAAGTGAGGGATAATTTTAAGGTGACAACTAAATTGAGATGATGTCAACAAGGCATTTTATATGTGGACCTGAATAGAGTCTAGGGGAAAAAGCTAACCTTAGAGATTTTTAGCATAAAGTGGATATTGAAGCCATGGAAATAGAAGAGTTTGTTTAAAGAGAATCTACAAGGATGATAGACTAGCAGCTGGGAGGTTGAATTGGACTATTAACGTTTTAATATTATCATTCAGGTTTTTTTTAAGTTGAAGAAATTGCACATAGAAATGGGCTTTTTGAAAATTCCAGTATATAGGGCCACTTTCCTATACAACAGTCATTGGCTTAAACCAAATGGAAACTGCCCTCTCCATAAAGGATATGAGCTATTCAGTTCACCACGGCCCCCAACACTTTCTAATGTCTTTAGACTCAGATTACAGCATTCATTTTTACCTGCCTTGTTCCTAAAGCACTTGAGTTTGAGCTTTTAGTTCATAGAGTCAATGCAAGAGAGTGTAGGACTTTATCCCTGAGAAGTATCAATGTGTGTGGGTTGAGTAGGAAAGGAAAAACCTGAAAGGACAGTATGACAGGTGGAGAAAGGAAAAGCAGAGGAGTATGACGTCAGAGAGGTCAGTGTTTCAAAAGAGAAGGTATGCTCAGCAATGACAAATACTGCCGAGTGGTCAAGCTAAAAATTAGGAATAATCCATTAGATTTAGTAGTATGGTTGTCTTTGGTAGAAGATTTTAGTAAGAACAATTTAAGTTAAATTCTGCAGGGGTTAGGGTGAGAATTCTATATCCAAGTAGGTTAAGGAATAATTAAAAGAAGTTGAGATAATGATGATGGACCTCTCATTAAAAAATAAAAGAGAGAAAGGAATACCTGTAGAGAGTGATGGGTCAGGCTAGTTTTGGTTTTTGTGTTTTGAAATGGGACAAACTTAAGCAATTTAAATGCTGATAGGGAAGGATCTAGCAGAAGATGATACAAATACGTGAGAGAAAGGGGCTAGTTGTGCAAGAGAGGAAGAGACTACAGAAGATGAAGTTGAAAGGACCCTGAGTGCTTCTCAAACTTCCGTACCCAAGGACCCGCATATGACTGAACATTCGCTACAGAGCCCCAAGGCGCTGGGAAGACTCTTCATTTGCCACAAGTGAGAAATTTCTCGGAAGTCTGCAGTTTTTGCTCACAATGCACATGAATTAAGTGTGTTATGCCAGAGCTCCCATATATAAATATATATATATATATATATGAATATATATGCATATATATATAGTGGTTTTTATAACAAAAGGCTGTGTTGCCCCCAGATCCTTTAGGGAAGAAAGGCCAATCCAACCACATCCGTCTCCCCAGGTGTGGACACAAGGGGTTCCAGAGACACAATTCAGCATGGTTCCTTTGGATCCAAGAGGCCCAGGGGATCCTTCCTGAGGCTTCTGCTCCTTCCTGCTTTCTAAATTTGAAATCTGACTTCTGAACAGCAGCAGACACCTCCCCCTCCCTCACCTTTCTGCGTGGGCTGGACCTGCTTATCCATGGATGCTCATTCAAAATTCAGAAGCTAAGTTTCAGAGAGGTAATCACACAGCTAATAATTGAAACAGAATTCAGACCCACAGCTGTTTGAAGTCTCCCCAACCTGACCTCTTTCCAGCAGGTGAAGGCTGCCATTTGGGCTTCTTCCTCGACAAGGATGGAGTGACGATGGGATGATGGAAGGGTGGGTCTATGCATCCCTGGACACGCTTTCAGTGGGTGGCCCTGAATTCTGCATGAGGATACGGAGAGGAAGGAGACATAGTTTGTAACCCAAAGAGCTCAATGGGACCCTGAGTGCTTCTCAAAATTCCATATCCAAGGACCTGCATATGACTGAACATTCCCTACAGAGCCTCAAGGTGCTGGGAAGCCTGTGCATTTGCCACAAGTGAGAAAATTCTCGGAAGTCTGCACTTTTAGCTCACAATGCACGTGAATTAAGTATGTTATGCCAGAGCTCCCATACATATATATTCATATATATATGCATAAACATATATGATGGTTTTTATAACAAAAGGCTGTGTTGCCCCCAGATCATTTAGGGAAGAGAGGCCATTCCAACCACATCCGCCTCCCAGAGTGTGGACACTGGGGGTTCCAGAGCCAGAATTCTTCATGGTTCCTTTGGACCGAAGAGGCCCAGGGGATCCTTCCTGTGGCCTCTGCTCCTTCCTGCTTTCTAAATTTGAAATCAGACTTCTGGACTGCAGTAGACAGCACCGCCACCCTCACCTTTATGCTTGTGCTGGTCGTGCTGGTCCGTGGATACACATTCAAAATTAAAAAACTAAGTTTCAGAGAGGTGATCACACAGCTAATAAGTGAAACAGTCAGAATTCAGACCCACAGCTGAAGACTGCCCAACCTGACCTCTTTCCAGCAGGTGAAGGCTGCCATTTGGGCTTCTTCCTCGACAAGGATGGAGGGGCGATGGGACGATGGAAGGGTGGGCCAAAGCATCCCTGGACACGTTAGTGGGTGGCCAAAATTCAGCATGAAGATACAGAGAAGAATGAGACATAGTTTGTACCCCAAGGAGCTCAGTGGGACCCCGAGTGCTTCTCAAAATTCCATACCCAAGTACGCGCGTATGACTGAACATTCCCTACAAAGCCCCAAGGCGTTGGGAAGCCTGTGCATTTGCCACAAGTGAGAAATTTCTCGGAAGTCTGCAGTTTTTGCTCACAATGCACATGAATTAAGTGTGTTATGCCAGAGCTCCCATCTATCTATCTATCTATCTATCTATCTATCTATCTATCTATCTATCTATCTAGATATATGTATTTTATAACAAAAGGCTGTGTTGCCCCCAGATCTTTTAGGGTAGAGACTACAGAAGATGAAGTTGAAAGGATAGGTGAATGAATCAACCTTAGAAGGAAGTACACCTGTTATCACTGAAATTATTAATAGTTTGGATGCTTTTAAAACTGTAAATTTGTTTTCAAGGAGTTGAGAAAATTCGTAACTGAAAAACCTCACTGTGAAATGAACACGATAACCACTACACTATGGAAACAGGACAGATTGAAAAACCTCTCTGAAAAACCTCTTTTCTCCATAAAATTGGTGGCCAGGTCATCTAAAATCCAAGGTTAGAAGAAGAAAGGTGTGTGTGTGTTGGGGAAGAGAAGTTATTTAAAGCTGTGTAACAAATTGGTCCAAAATGTAGTGACTTAAAACAATATTATTTCACAGTTTCTGTGGGTCAGAAATATGGATGTCACTTAGCTGGGTTTTTAGAATCTTGTACAAGTTTCCAATCAAGCTGTCAGCTGGTGCTGCTGTCATCTCAAGGCTCAGCTGGGGGAAGATCTACTTCCAGGGTCACTTAAGTGATCGTTGACAGAATTCAGTTCCTCCTGGGCCGTTAGTCTAAGGACTTCAGTTTGCAAGGTGTCCTTCCATGTAGGGCTCACCAGAGGGAGTGACAGCTAGATTCCATCAGAGAATGCAAGGGAGAGTGAGCAAGCCGAAGTCTTTTTGTAACCTGATCTTAGAAGTGACATTCCATCACTTTTGCTGTATCATATTTGTTAAAAGCAAGTCACTAGGTATAGCCCA